TGAGCAAGCTTGGCACCTATACTGCCGTGCTAAGGCAGAACGCCGCACTAGAACAAAAAAAAAAAAAAACACATTGGATCTAGAGTCCAGACTCTTGAAAACATTGACAAGAAAAAGGACTCTTGATTCAATCAGATTTAAGCTTGGATCAAAAGGAAATCCGCTCAAATTAAGAGGCTTGGTTCTTGATTTAAGCTTAAATCTGATTGAATCAAGAGTATTTTTTCTTGTCGATATTTCAAGAGTCTGGACTCTAGATCCAATGTGTTTTTTTTTCCAGTGTATGAACTATCAATCGTTGCCTTTCCTTGGAAAAACAATGAATTTTCAGGAAAATTTGTAAATATTTCTCTTCCGATTTTTTGGAGGATTTCGTTCGAAATTTGATCTGAAAAGTCAGAAAATTTCAATGAAAAATATTCTTAACTTCCTTCAAAAATAGGTAGTTTTTGAGAGAAAATTTGGCAACATTTGAATGCTTATACGGCGTTCTTCCTTAAGTAGCACGGCAGTATAAGCCAGGGATGCAGGATCTTTCAAACTTCCACGTTTTCACGCGCCCGCCGAATTTTCATTTTTTCGAAAGACGAAAAGTCATCGTTTTTGTTCCGAATTCCGTATGATTCATTTGGGTTGTTCTTTCAAAACTTCGCAAAATATTAGTCAAAATTAGTTTCTCAAACGGAAAAAATAACAAAAGAAATACAAACGGAGGACGACTCATTGAAGTCGGTTTAAGGGAACTCTACATATCGTGCTCAGTTACCTATTTTCTTGCCGACAACATCGTGATGGGTACATTTAAATAACGCATTTCTCGGAAAATTAGCAAAATCGCGATAAATATCAGTGATGCTCAACTTCATCGCCACAAGAGGCAACGTTGGAAATGAGCTAAGGTGTAAGAAAACCATCATAACTTCAATAAACGTAGCATGCAACGGGTACCAGCTAAGCAAACTTCATCATATCGACTGGATGCAACTATTCGAGCTCCTAGGATGTCCGTGTTGCATACGCCCGGAGTTGAAGGCGTTTTGACCTCAACAGACACTAACTGCCTCGCCAGCGGCGCTCGCAATGGAGCGGGCCGATGAGAGGAGCCATACAAAATGTGGAAACAGTGAAAGCTCACATCGATGTGAATAGGAGTGTAGAGGTTTTAGAGGTGGTTTCATTGATTTTCTATTCCTTTAAGAGGAACCCCATACAATTTATAATATGAAGACTTTTACCTCAAACGCAGTTTTGGTCGATAAGTTCCCGTCCGATATCTCTAAAAATATCGTTTTATGGTGCGGCAGGGATCTAAACTGACATCGTGCCTTCAATTCTTCATTTATACTTCAATCACGTGTCTTTGACATAAATAGTTTCGCTGCAAACCATGTTCGGCACATGATCTACATAATATCTCACTGATCTAAAAATATTCTCACACTCCGCTATAACTATTTGTGCCTGGGATATATAATTTTGTGGGTGGTGTAGACGAAGAAATGAGTGTGTTTCGCCATGTAGGATACTCGTAGTCGTAGAAAAGCTGCCGTTGGCGCCGTGCCGCGGGTGAAGCGGTGAGTGCCTGGGCAAGCAAAACGCCTTCAATTCGGTGCGTATGCAACACGGACATCCATGGAGATCGAATAGTTGCATCCAGGAGTTAAGATGTTTGTAATGTGTTCGTCGCATTCGACACCAACTTAAAGCGTTTTGTTTATTTTTCTTGCACCGCAACTGTATTCCAGCGTTGTCTGTTGTCCTTTATCGCGACATTGTCCTTTTCCGGAATAATGCATTGAATTTTTAAAAATAAATCAACGTTGTCGTCCTAAAATGTGGGCTGCAACCCCCACCTTCTCTAATCTAAAAACGACAAATGTGGCAAATTCGTTTCATAGTCATTGTAGGAAAAAATGGAGCGCGCATTTTATCATATCAGTGTTTTCTTTTTTCGCAGAAGATATAGAAAAAAGTCCAGGCAGATACGTAAATCAACTTACGGTTAAATCAGAGCCCAAAGCGGCAGGGCCCGAAGCTTGCAGAAAATATGTTTTAAGCCGAGGTTGCCACAAAATTCAGAAAATGAAATTCCCTGACATTTCCGCGATTTCCTCGACACATTTGAGTAAAATTCCCTGACGTTTAAAGATATGCCATACTTACGGTCAATAAGACATACCTAAATTGAAATAGTTCCCAGGAAAAATTTGTTATTCAAAACGCCAAATCCATTCTAGAAAGCTGATAAATTGCAATTTTTCCCAGACATTTCCAGGTTTTCTCAGACATTTTCAGATTCCCTGGCATTTCCCGGGTTTCCCTGACTGTGGCAACCCTGTCCACCGAACCCACTTTGCATACCCTCTCTACGAAGATACCCTACCCGTTGCCCATACTCTAACTGCGCGGTTTCCTCACCGACGCGACGGTAGACACCCTGTCCCGGTTTCACCTCACGCCAGCGGGAGGAAATAGCGTCACAGAGACACACATACACCCACACACAAAGCGGCAGAACGGCGAATGGGATAGATAAGATTAAAGGAATAGTAATTAGTGTATCTATTACCTAACGAGTGCCGCAGGTGGCTTGCACCTATTCCACAGGTGGCAACAGCGATAATGGCTTTGCGAAGAGAGAGAGGGAGAGAGGGGACGAGAGAGAGAGGTTCGGAGCGGCAAGTCAGGACCAAGGTCTAGTAAGTGTGTGCGATTCTCTGTTCTCTGCTCTCTCGCCGTCGATTCCTTGACCTAGTCATTACCGCGGGAGTCGTAAGATTTCATTACAGCTCAGCTTTGATTCTTTCCTAGGATCCTCCCCCCTCCCCCGAGGGGGGAACCAACCTACGGGCCGCCGGAGACAAAGTGTCGTGGAAACACCGTACCACGTACCCACCGTACTGCCCGTCAGACCGCCTGCATTGTGATACTCTGTATTGCAGCGAACCGAAGACTAGGGTCATCCCTAGATTGAGGGATTTTTCAGCATTTCCAGGGATCTGAAGATTATCTGAGGAATCTAGAGATTTTTTACCGAAGTAAGCGAATAATGAGTAAAAAACGGCTGTTTTGCCCTCTTTTTAGCTTCGAGTCGACGGAAAATATTCTTTCATCTAGATATATTTTATTGGCAATAACATTTTCCCATTTGACATGAAAGTAACAAAGGGGTTGCAGAAGTAAAATGAAATATATGAAAGATAGGCAATTTCTGTGAAATATTTCATGAAATTTCGAAAAATTGTGAAAAATATAAAAAGTATTGAACATGTATTTATTCACGGGCTGGGGATATGCAACACACACTAAAAAACACCAAAAAGCAAAAACCATTTGCCTTCCATTTAGTTTTGCATTTTTCAATTTCGAAAATATTTTTCAAAACCTTTCATAATTTTCTGCAATATCATGAAATATTTCACAAGAAATTTCAAGATTTTATTTACTTATCATGAAAAATGACAACCCTGTATAACGATTGCGTCATTCTATACACCCGACAGTTTAACAGTATGAAAAACAATAACATATCCTCGATTCATATTTATTCATCTCATTGACCTGTTTTTGCATTTTGCACAAATTTCGGAGGGCAGCAAAATTCAAGCAAGCCAATCAGATTGCAAATTGATGAATCGAAAGGCGTCATAATCCTACAAATAGAAATGACAGTTTTTCGCAGGTCAAAGGGATTGTTTGGGGATACCTATTGGAGTAAAACTGGGGATTTAGGGATTTTTTTCTTCTTAACTAGGGATTTTGCTTCAAATCACTGCTGAAGCACTTAGCATTTAGAGTGAGAAACAAGCGGGAAGTTTTATTTTATTAGATACCTCTGTGAAAAATTTGGAATAAATCTTCCTCCGAAGCCTATTTTACCTACCTACCTCTGAAAATACCAAGTTATATGAATGTGGAGTGAGATCAGCTCTGAAAGAGGGGAGTTAACTGCGCAAGAAGAATAAGTAGTTTCCATTTTGCACTCATATCACCCGCGTTGTTCAGAGGCAATGAGAGCTCGAATCTTGTTGGCCAGTTTACTAAGGGCTGAAAATTGCGTCAAGAATGTCCAATTAGCTTTTCCAACGCGGATTATGGTTTGAACCGTTCAGGAACTAAGGATGGGTTGAGCCTGTTATAAAACAAGCTCAACTAGAAGTGGGGAAAGAAAAGAATAGACAAATGTCACATCAGGGAATGGCACCATTCAACATAAATTTACATGATATCCAATGGGCCAACTGATGATTGATGCACCCAGATTGATGTGACATTTGTCTATTCTTTTCTTTCCCAAGTTCTAGCATATCGCATAGGTTAAGGAATTATTTAATGTGAATACTGAGAGAAAGAACGGGTAAAAGGGCCGTTTTTTACATACTAATTCTTTGTAAAAAAAAAAAAATCCGTAGAAATGCTGAGAAATTCCTAAATCTAGGGATAGCCCTAGACTTTAGATCACCCCAGTAGGTACAGCATATCATAAAGCGGTTGGTCTGAAGGGCAGAACGTTGAGTACATTGTGCGGTGTTTTCACAACACTTTGTTTCCAGCCCTCTGTAGGTTGGTTCCCCCTTCAATGGAGGAGGAAGGATTCTAGGAAAGAATTAGAGCTCAGTTGTAATGAAATCTTACAACTTTCGCGGTAATGATTAGGTTGAGGAATCAATGGCGAGAGAGCCAAGAATAGAAAATCGCACACGCCTGCTTACCTAAACTTTTATGAGATATTGTAGGTAAAAACAAAGAAAAAAATCATTAAAAATTCCCTTAGTTACTAGGTTGCTACTCAAAAATTACTTCAGTACGTTAAGAGATTTTCTTTGTTTCAAATTCAGATGAGCGTGTAGCCTCATAACCAATCTGAGAAAATGCACTCACTTAAATAAACTTACTAGGTACCTAAAGCTTGAGCAATAACTATAAAGACAAGATTAGAATAAATTCATGCACATGCATTGAGTTAAGTTTACAAAGATGATAATGAAGGAGAAACTCACCAGATTTTACACGGGTATAATCACGCCTTGTCTCATTTAATGTAAGTGCATTTAACATTTTCACAGCTCCAGCTCACTAAGGTGAAGTTATTCCAATTTTGTACACTTGTACTTGCATCACAATATCACTTGAAACTGTTGATGGAAAAATACGAATCCAACGGAACACTGCTGTGATTTAATCCAGGATCCGACCGAGTGCACTACCTAAGCACGAAAAAAAAGATATTCGAGTATGAAATGAGATCTAGACTACCGACGACAGAAAGAAGCGTAATATACTAGCGTTATGACAGTTAATTCGCTCTGTACCAGACGAGTGTTTAAATATGACAACTAATGAGAATTTGAAAAACGTTTTAGGGTGCTCTCTATGGTGAAATGCCTGACGCTAACGTTGAAGAGCTACGATTGAAGATCAAGGGCATTCACTCCTAACATAATGCAAGTGATTGAATAGTTGCACCTTGATAGATACATATGATAAGTAAGATGAGCTTCCAATTAAATATGGAAAAAGATAGATGTCCTCTGGCAACGAATGATAGGTAAGGACCTCAGCGATGGGCCATTTCGACATCAACAAGAAATTAGGTTATGATTTTCAGACGAGCACATCTGGTCAGAAACTAAGAGCATAAAGATGCTGAAAGTGAAAAATAAAAAGTTTTCAACAGACTAATCATTCTCAAGGGTTGGTACTGATTTCTGGACGTACACAAAGAAAGTTTGTGCATATTGAGGAGACAAGTCTAACCTTTCACTCAGCAGGTGACTAGCATATTTTCAAATGTATTTTTCCCATCTAAGTACGGAATCTAGCTCACCTTGAACGTAAAACTTACGAAGAAAATAGAATTAAAATGTAGGGAAGGGAATATAATGATGTAGGTGAAATATTGTCGAGATACAGAGGTGGGATTGCATCAAGAACGCCCCTTTTTCACTTTTGATTTCGCGATCGTATCCGAACAGACGGTCACCGACTAAAATTTAGATTCTTAGCGCACTTGAACTCGAAACGATGAATTACAGTTATGTACGATTTGAGATCATTTCGGGGGAAAATTATCTGCAGAATTTGGCACTAACTAGAAATTTAAAGTGGAACAAAAAAGCGGATTGCGGCCACAGAATATTCACGATCACAATCAGTCAGTAATCAAGAAACCGAAACACAAAACAATCACTAGCGCGCTCGCACGGTGAAGATCCGACCTCTGCAAACTGTCGGAGGTAACTAACTGGCGGGCAATGGAACGATTTCAAACTACCGCTCGAGGTGGGTCTTGTCCGCAGCTTGCGTTTTGCTTTTGCTTTAATCCCAAGTTCTTGTCACAGAAGGTTGAGAGGGCTGAGGGGCAAGAAGAAACTTGCACTCTCGATATACCGCCTTTAAATCCGCATAAAAACTTTTATCCTGAGCGGATTCGGGTTCGAGAAGAAACAATCCAAGCCAGAACCAGTTTTTCACCGACACTCTTACATAATTCATTTCACTGTCTTTTCTTGCTGATCATTTTCCTTCCTTCGGCTTACTGTCTGCTTGAGCTTTTAGCTTTCAATGCTTTGTTTTCTCTGCTTGCCATTGAGACAAACCGAATTTTGTAGGTACAATCACAAGCGTGTCGTGTTTATAAATGACTCAATCTAATTTATGACTCTGTTATTCTATCCAGTTTCACTGCCATGGCAACCGTCTTCATTATCGTAGTTCAATGAAATAATGCGCGTTTGCTTAATTACGTCAAGGGAATTCTTCATGCTGCTTTTCTTTGATTTATTTAATTATTTATTTATTTATTTTTCATTTCGCCGTAAAAAAATGAAAGGCCATAACTTGTCCCATTCAAACTTACCCCAAGTTTAACTTAGAACTGATTGGTTGTGGGAGTTTGCAATAAACATGCGATGTTAGCCCTCGGTCGAATAGTTTTCCTATCTATTTTACTTTTGAAAATTCTGAGTTGAGGACACTATCCAATGCTCACTAGTCACTAGAGCCCCTTTTTGCCACTAGTTTACTGTAACTCAAAGACGATTAATTTTTGCCTCATACTTTCGCGCCTTCCAGGATAGCATTCTAGCTTTTTTTTCCACCAAAGCAGGAAGCACAGTAAGTGATGTTTCTTGATATTAAAGAGGGCTAAAATTGGTTTTATACCTAGGTATTCTTTTAAAAAAAAATCTTAAAAATGCAAATCGTTCTCCAAGCAACTTCTAGACATCTCACAGATTACTAAGTACTCGGTCTCAGGTGTCAAGGAATCGCATGTCGATGGCTAAATGCGGAAAATGCGTATTGTACCTCAATGGGCCTGTTGCAAACTTTTGCTAGAGCAAAACTAAGAGTTGTTTCTTATAGATAATGCCTCAAAAATCACGATGAGCGCATCGGCAAACTCTGAAATGCACTCATAACTTCACAAACTGCGTAAGAAATTTGCGGTTTTTTGAGCTTCCCGCTTCAAAAACGATACTACGGCACAGGTGAACATTTTGTAAGAGGAATCGTTCCATCGTCGGCAATAATCATCATGGCTGACGCCAATCCGCCAAAACACGTTTGATGGGACGAGATAACACCTGAACTGGATTAGACCAGATAACAATCGGTGTGTTAACGTTCATATTTTCCACGCCCGAATTGATTGACCTTGAACTCTCCTCGAATTACGCGCGGAACTGCGTGCAAGCGTCGGCCATGATGAATATCGCCGACGATGGAGCGACTCCTCTAACAAAATGTTCACCTATGCCGTAGTATCGTTTTTGAAGCGGGAAGCTTAAAAAAACGCAAATTTCTTACGCAGATTGTGAAGTTATGAGTGCATTTCAGACTTTGCCGATGCGCTCATCGTGATTTTTGAGGCATTATCTATAAGAAACAACTCTTATTTTTGCTCTAGCAAAAGTTTGCAACAGGCCCATTGCAACGAACAAAAATCTCCGACTATGCGTTAAATTAATGGAGGGTCAATTTCAGAGGTCTCATCTCCCATTGAAGGGCACACATCATGCGGAAGGTCTCTCTAGAGGCCCCTGGACGTTCGTAGAGATAACTATTCGGTCACGGCTGTGGAGGGATTGCATATTCGCAATTCAGAAGGGGATTTTTCCGTGCCTCCGCGGAAAGCTGCATGAGGATTGTCATTTCATAGTCAACATTTGAGCTTAAGCAGGAGCTCCAATCTAACTCCAAAAATCACTTCATTGTCGCTGCTGTTCAGTGTTATATTTAACACAAACTTGAGTCCAGAGAAAAGAAGGTTGCTCTTTGCGGATCCGATAAAACTTGGGTATTTAAATCAAACTTTTTTTAAACGAGCTCCGTATTTCTAAGTTCTGAGATATTTTCTGCCAAGAAAGTGTTGTTCTAGGTAGAGATCAAAGTTTTCCGGGAAAATCAAATCACTGGATATGGAAACGCCCTGGTAAAAATTGGCAGTAGAATCTGTGTTTCAAAAACCATAGACCTACAGCCGGCTGTAATATTTCCCATAGCTTCTATAGCCGGCACCACAATTTCTTATAGCCTTCTATAGCCGATGGCGATTAAGCAACAGCCTGACGATAAAGTGTATGCTAAACGTTACTAATTACGGATGCTAGGACTTAGTGAGTTTTTGGACTACCGCTCTCTTTTTGGGCCGCAGTATCTTGATTTAATTTGCGAGGAAAGCTCCGTACTTGTGAAGGATGCCTGCCATTTCTAATATGTTTGAGCGCCTTCAATTTCGTATGATACTGTGCAATACCTCTGGTGTGAAATAGTTGCTTCAGACGCCGTGGCACGCTGCGGCGCGGCGGGCGGGCAGCCAGCGCTGAACGCGCATTGGCGCCTACAAACCAAACAGGGATACTTCACGCATTGCGCAATGCGTGAAGTATCCCTGTTAGGTTTGTAGGCGCCAGTGCGTCGCCGCTCCGCTTTGTGTTAGGCTCTAATATTTAATCTCGCGGAGTCAGCGTTTTTCAACTCATGACTTTGAAATTTTTGCACACTCTGTATGGATTATTCTCTTTTTAATTGATGAAAAAAAAATATGAAGTAAAGGAAAATACAATATGCATTTTGTAAATATCCAGGTGATTCCGTACAAACTTAAGGATTTACCTACAAAGCACAAGAATTTCCACACAATTGCTTATAGCCTTTTACAGCCGATGGCGAAAAAGCAACAGCCAGGCGATGAAGTGTAAAGCCCGGCGATAGGAACTATAGCCCGGCTGTATAATTTTTTATCGCTTCGTGTAGCCCGGCCGTATGATTTTTTCCACTTTCTACAGCCAGCTATATGATTTTCTATCGCCCACTTCAGTCGGCTATAAGAACTTCTATGGTATTTTGAAACGCAGCTCCTATCGCCAATTTTTACTAGGGCGAAGAAAAAACCACGAACGCTCTTAGGGGCTCTTCTTAGTGTGAGTGATTACCATGCGTTGTGTGCATGTATGTGATTATTGTCAAAGTTTCCCAGAATAGTACATTTTCGCTGAGAATTCCAGGGAACGAGAAAGCTCCCACTAGGATCCCTAGTCTCGGGGCCGGTGGATGGAAATGTGCGCGGCGCGACGCTCTAATCGCACTTAGTTTGGACTAGGAAAAAACCACGTGTGAACATTCAAAAGCTGTAAAATTTACTTTGATAAAATTCAAATTTTTCAGTAATCTTGTGAATATTTTCCCTCTAATTTCTCAGAGAAATTTACTTACAATGTAATCTGAGGTTTTCGGAAATTTCGAGAGAAATTATTAATGATCTCCCCTAAAAATGCGTCTCAGACCGGAGTAAATCTGAAAGAAGAACGCCGTATGAGCCTTCAGAAGCTGCCAAGTTTCCTCCGATAAAAACCGAAATTACTGGGAAAATTGTGAATATTATTTTCCACAATTTTCAGAAAATTTCGCACGCAATTTAACCTAAGAATCTGTGAATTCCAAGGAAAAATATGCATGAATGCTGCCAGAAATACATATTTCATCGAAGGAAATTTGACAACTCTCGAATGTTCGTGCGACGTTCTTCCTCAACACGGAGCAAATGTGGGAACGACAAAATTTTTATGGAGCGTTCTCCTTTTAGCACGGCACACGGTGGATCGAGTCAATAGGAGAGGTCGGACAAAAGTTGGAAACTTCAAACGCTTATAATTGCGTCCGTGCAAAACTTTGAGGTTCTAAAAGTGATTTAATTTGTTTCCTCGTAAAATATTCTGCTACGGGCACCCCTTAAAAATCAAAATGTGACAAAATTAACATCAAAATTTGCAGTTTTAGTAAAAAATCCCTGCTAAAAATGGTGAGTACAAATGAATAGAAAATCAAAGGCATATGAATAAAATTTCAATTCGATTATGAATATAAAATTTCAACTCAAATGAATATAATTTCAACTTATATGAATAGAATTTAACTCATATGAGCAGAATTTCTTTATGCAGTTTTCGCCAACTCATATGACTAGAGATTCCAACTCATATGACTAGAGATTTTAACTCACATGAGTCAACGTTTAATCCACATTGTCCGATATCTCAGAAACTAGTCACCGCATCAAAAAAATTTCAAGAACAAAATGTTTTATTTTTCAAATTTACCTATTATGTCGGTGTCTCCTGATCAGAAACAGCATTTCTGAAAAATGAAAAAAATTGAATTCATATGAGTTGAACTTTTCTATTCTTATGAGTAGAATATTCTAGTGATATGAGTAGGATTTCTACACTGGAAAAAAAAAAAAAACACATTGGATCTAGAGTCCAGACGCTTAAAAACATCGAGAAGAAAAAATACTCTTGATTCAATCAGATTTAAGCTTAGTTCAAGAACCAAGCCTCTAAATTTGAGCGGATTTCAATTTGATTTAAGCTTAAATCTGATTGAATCAAGAGTCATTTTTCTTGTCAATGTTTTCAAAAGTCTGGACTCTAGATCCAATGTGTTTTTTTTTTTTTTTTTTTTTTTTTTTTTTTTTTTCCAGTGTACTCATATAAATAGGAAGTTCTACTAATGCGAGTTGGCGAATTCTGAATAGCCTACTCGTCATTTTTAGCAGGGATTTCACGTCCGACCTCTCTGATTGACTCGATCCACTGTGCTGGAGTAAGTTAAAGTAATTCGTTGGAGAGCACGGTCGCGTGACTGATGATATGTTTACGTTGCCTCATTGTCAGGCGCAGCTTTTTCACACGCGGAAGCCGAACGCCGATCGCCGAATAGGCCGCTCGTTTGCTCGCCG